AATCCTAATCTTAACTGATACATTATTAGGAATTCTTTTGGTTGCAAGTGGCAGAAACCCCCTCCTGAGCAACCAAAAAGCAAACACCTGCTTCCTGCACTAGGCGTAGAATGAATCCAGGTGTGGCTGAACCCAAGGGTTTGGATTCTTCTGTGAAATTCAGTCTCTCTCAGTTCCTAGGTTCTGCTTTTCCAGGCAAGCTCCTTCTCAGGCAGGCTGATGGGCTAGTCACCAAAGCCAGGTCCATGCCCATCACACAATGAGATGAGACAGCTAGTGCCTCCAGCAAGGGGTCCTTTCAGGGCATAGGAGTGGGGTCTTACTCTGAGAAGGGTAGGGGGCATCTGAGAAAGCTTCATAAAAATGGTTCCAGTTGAGATGGGCATGGGAGGATGAGATGGAGATGCCAGCTGGGTGGGGGAAGTGCATTCCAGGCAGAGAGGACAGCAGTGCAAAAGCATGCAGACTCCTGCAGCTCAGAGTTGCCAGACTGTTGGGTGTTTGGTGGGAGCAGAAGTAGATGAGGCCAGAGAGGTAGCTGGAGGCCAAACATAAAGAGCCCTAAATGCCAGACTGAGTGTTTTAGGCTCTGTCCTGAAGGCAGCAGAGACTGTGAAAGGATTTAGAGCAGGGGAGGGCCACAGTCACATTTTCCCCCCTTGGTGATGAAGTGGAAGGTGAATGGTGGCAAGGAGAAAAACTAGAGGCAGCCGGAAGACCAGGGAGGAGCTGCTGTGTCACCAGCCTGCATCAGATGGGTGGCCTGGGGAGGATCAAAAAATTTCTGGAGTCAAGTTGACAGGACTGAAATGTGGAGAGTGAAGAGACCGGTATTGAGGAATTCTGGCATCTGACCCAATGATGTGGCTACCAGCTGGTTTCAGGCAGGTAGAAGGGAGGGGCGAGTCCCCTAGCTCTTGGCAGCAGACAGGAGAAACTGGTGTTGCCACCTCTGGGGACTGGAAGACCCATCAAGTCTTTGCAATTCAAAGTGGCCAATTCTTGGATGCCTCCAGGAATGGGGAGCTCATCCCTTCCATAGTTCTGACCCAAATAAACCATGGACTCAAATCTATCCCTAGAGTTAGGCACAGCTCAGTGCCCCCTGCCCACACCCTGGGGGGCTCCCTATATCCTGGGCCAGCCCTTGGAGATTCAGGCACCTGATGCTGTCTCCTTAAGTCTGTCCTTCCCCTGTCTCAACACCTTTGCTTCCTCTGATCATGAGACAAGGACCCCTGAGGGTCCTGGGGAGGATGTTTTACTCAGACACTAAGTGTCCACCCACAGAGGGAGAAAGGCAGTCTGGTCAGATACTCTTCCCATCTCTCTGTATCAAGGAGAAAGTCTCCACAGGCTGCCAGGGCATCTTAACATCTTAGATGTTGGCCCATGTCCTTGCTGAGCAAAGAGAAGGCAGGCCTCCACCGTGGGGCCTGGGGCCACAGAAGCAGTCTCTGGTGAGAATCTAATGATGCTGTCAGTTTCCGCTTTGGCTATTTTGATGTTGCATTTCTATTTCTAGCAAGTGGTGATGGTTTGCCATATATGGTGGGCCTTCATCACCTGACAATGCCAGCTGCAGGATCCCAGCCCTATGCTGGTGGCCGGGAGGCAGGGAGTGGGGCATACCCTGGGACTATCCCATAGCCGGATCTGTGGAGCACAGGGAGCCCTGCTTAGCAGGAATGTTCTCAGAGAATCCTCTGTGCAAACACTACCACCACTGATAAATTACACCACCAGGCAGGAAAGGTCCTCTTCCACCCTCTCCTCCTGCCCACTTCCCTTGCTGGGGATAATCTTGTAGCCAATTGGAGGGTCCTCTTCTGGAACTTGCCCTGCCAATTTACCCTCTCCTGTATGACATAAATGGGATCATGCCATTTGCACTATCACATCCTGGTGGTGGTGGTTTTCAGCAACTGTAGATATTAGCACCTTAATAGATTCCTAGTTTTTGTTGCTTAATATTCCATAATATGGATGTTCTCTGATTCTCAGAAGTGAGCCACTATTCCCAGAAGTCCCGGGATGCCTTGGAGGCATAGCCACTAAGCCTTTTGGGGTAACAGAAGGTGAAATATGAGACCCAGGCTCTCTGGGTATCTTGGTTCATCACTCACCCAACATCAGCTTCATCCTTGTCGGAGTGGACTTGCATTAGAAGGAACGGTCAGGGGGCCCACAGAGCCATCGCTGGGGCCAGGCCCAGTGCCCTTGCCATCCAGGGCTCATCCAGCTGTCCTCTGAGAGGGAGGCCAGTGCTGCCTGGCCCTACAGAGGAAGAAATGGAGGTAGGAGAAGGGCAGTCCTGCCTCTGGCACAGCTGGGTTGGCCCCGATCAGGCCCCACTGTTATTTTCCAAAGGAGGGCTGCTTCACCTGGAGGCCTCTAGTTCCACATGATTTTTTTTCCCTGTGGCCCCAGTTTTCCCTTAATGATGATGACTATATTGATATAGCGGTAGGCATAATTGGGGTGCTTTCTTTGCACCAGGCACCAACAGCCCTTTACAGAGACAGGTAACTAAACGAGCCCAAGTTGCAGAGGAGGTGGCTGAGGGCGCTGGAATCGCAAAGTCAGAGGGTCCACTTCGTCGTCTGGGCTGTGCGGCTCGCTCACCTCCCTGAGCCGCAGCTCACTCACTCGCCCGCTCCGCTCGCGCACGCAGCGCGCTGCGGCACCTGCTTTGCGCTCCAGGCCCTCCACCTTCCGGGATGGTGGGGCGCGCGCCGCGGCTAGAGGCCAGGAAGCGGTGCGGAGCCGAGCGGT